CATGGTATAATAAAAAACAATTTTAAGAAGTCACATGTACCTGCATTTAAAAATAACCAACCAAATAGTTTAAGCTCTTTGATGCCTGTATAAGTATACATGTCAACTGATTGTTATATTAGCATTCATACCAACAACTACACTTGAAAGCATCAACCCAGTCTTACTTGCCAACTAGCACGTTTAGTTTTTTTTATGGGAGTATAACCAGATGGAAAAGAAAGAAGCTTAATAAAGGAGAACATAAACAAACTCTACCATGCACAAACCCCTAGAAAATTAATACTTATCCTAAGTTTAAAACGACATTGAGTGAAAGAACTGGAGCATACCATTAACGTGAATTCCTTTTGCTTTCAAGCATGTTGTATGTCATTGAGTTTACAACGGTGAAATACAGCTTAAATCATTTATCGTCAAATGTCAAATAATGTAGTTATATTCCATTTTTACTTTGGTTTGAAGTATTTGTTATAGTTGAGTGAACTTGAATTCTTAAATAGGGGTGGAGATCATTTTATCGGTGCATGTTTCCTATTAATGTGTCCAATAGAACCATTTAGAGTGTGCCTTTTATATTTGATTGCCTGATTGGATCATTGTCACCTTTTATGTCGAGATTTTGTGTTTTTTTAAGAAATAGTGAACACACCTATTGATCACCATTTTTAATTAGAGTGACAAATAAAAACCAGCATTTTTATCTAAGTTTTTGTTCTTAGTGATTATTTCCCCTACAGGCAGCTTATGCTATTATGTTTGATAGCATGAGTTGTCGTTCAACTCTTTGGACCAAGAGGTTAAAAGAAGTATGCTTAGAACCCTTCATCAACTATTTTTTCAAGGATAGCAATGATCTTGATCAATTGTTTTAAATTATTTTTATCCATACTCGAGAAGGCAAATTTATTTATATAACTTTCTACTTTTAAATTACTCAAGGTCATTAAAAGTGAACCTTTAGGAGGCCTCAATATTTCAAGCACCCGAGAGCTCTAAAGAAAACCCTAGCAAAAGCGAAACTTAATGTGTGAACATGCTAACCAGTAATTGAAATTTGCTTAATATGGGTGTTTTATTATGCTCAAGGTATAACTATGGAGTAGTCATTGCTGGTGAGAAAGAAGTTGTCATAGTTGCTGATTGTTTTGGACACTTTTGAAAAGCATTGATTTCCAATAAGCATACAAGTGGATGACTTAACTTACCTGGATGCTAAAGCGATACAACTAGCATGCAAGCCACTTTCTTAGTATCTTGAAATATTAATTCATTTATGCCACTTTTGTAGGTGAAGCAAAAGATGTAATTTTTGTTAGACTATTATTTTTATTCGTTGAGATTGTTCAAAAGTATCATTGATTTTGAGTTTTGCTCAACTATGTTATTTGGTCTATCCCGTTGATCTTTGTTCAATGGAGGCAGATTATATCATTTATTATTTTATCTTATTTCATCACATCCCAATATGTGTACACATGCATGCGAGGTTGTTTTTAATCCCTTATGTTTACTGGTTTTTTTTACAAAGAAAACATTCCATTTTTCCATTCTTTTCGCCCTTATGTTTTTAAGGCAATATGGCACTCATCAAGACAAATACATGATATGTCACCCTTAAATTATGAAGAGATGCAGTTTCGATACGTGAAACTGTGAAAATATTGTGATATTTCGATAAAAGGTTTCAAGGTTTGTTTTTATGTAAACAATTTTGATAAAATGACTTGCCATGTTGTTTATGCAACACATCATAATTTGCTCATGCATTGTGATATGTGAATCCAGATGCCATTTATATAACTTAAAGCTAGACAATATTAAAATGTGACTGTAGTTTCAAGGTGATTATAAGTGACTCCTATTTAAGAAAAAATTGTAGTGCCTGTGTTTTGAAAATTCACATTATTTTTACTTTTACTTCGAATTTTTCCCCTGTGGTTATCAATATAAAAGTTGTCACAACCAAATTTTAGAGCATATTTTTTCACAATGATACTTATATAAACATTTACAAAACGTAATAATTATATCATGCATCCCGTGCAACGCACGAGTGAAAATCTAGTAACTTTTAAAGATAACGACCCTCTTCCTCCCTTTCTGATGGGACTCCAGTGTTGTATGCTTTAAAGGGGAAATCGTGGAAGACAGCCAATATAACCAATATTTTTAGATGCAATCAGCTTATGTTTATAATTGACAGCAATAAGTTAGACTTCAATTAATTACTACGTACTCCATATGTCTAGTGACTAGTGGCTCAACAGAATGTGTCCACGAAACTGCTCAAGAATGTTTGGGATCCCATATTATATGTGCTTGTTATTGGTACAAGTACAACTATGTTTTTTTTTTCGTTTTAGTTTATTAGGAAGTTTTTCATTTTCGTTCATCCAAACATACCCTTTTAAGAAAAAAATATTATGTGTCTTTATAGTGGTACGTAAAAAAGTACCACTATACATTATTTTATAGAAATTATCATAAATATGAGTAAAATAATGTGAAATTCTAACACACGTGTATTGTTTTTTCATTACAATGTTCACATTTAATGCAAAAAAAAAACGTAATATATATTCCGTCATGGCTTTGATGGAGCTTTTACTCCTTTCAGAATCCGGAGGAGAAGTTATAGCTGCCATATCATTTATCTAGTTCAAATTTTGTAACTTTATTTTGTATAGTCTTGCAAGTTTTATCATTTTCTCTTTTAATTAATTAATTAACTAGTAATTCTGACATAGTATTATTTTCTTTTATCAGATCTACATAAATCCCATTCACATGATTTTTGTTATTTCGAATTTAGCAAGATTATAAAGGATGAAGAGAATATATCGCAATGTTTATATAATATTCTAATTTATCCCCTTTTCTTGTGTACAACTATTTTTCTTATTTATTTATCAGACATGTCAACTGTCAATATGCATATATTGACATAGTATTAGAATTCTTTTTTCATTACCACATATTTTCTCTACATTCAAGGACACCTTTATTTAAATAGCGATGCACGGGCAGCATGTAATTTAGTTAATTTGAAATTTGATTTCTTTCAGATCATATATAATGTGATTTTTTTAATTCCCGGAGTTACTACGGTAAGTGGAGAAAGCGCCGGGAAACACTTTCCAATTTTATTAAAAAATGAAAGTTACCAAAATCATAGTACAAAATGAAAAGTTCAAATACAAAGCTCAAAACAGAGATTTAACAATTAAAACTTGGAATCATATATAATGTGATTTAAAAGAAAATATATGTTACAAAGCTCATATATGAGTACATCACTATTATAATTTTTAGATATTTGTTACATTTGTGTTTTGCGTGACATTGAAAAAGCGAACTTTGGATTCTATCAACTCTCTTCGACATTGAAGATATTGATTTTAGTAACTTTTCCTGCAAAATACTCTTTATACTACCTCCGTTCCTAAATGTTTGTCCTAGTTTGATTTCACAGATATTAAAAAAATGAACTTGACTTTACATCATAGCGACACTGTTTGTCATTGTAGCAACACTGTTTGACACTGTGGCGACACTGTTTGTCACTGTTTTGCACTGTTTGACACTGATAAAGATTTGTTTGCCAAATAAGGAAGTTAAAAAAGTAGGACAAACATTTTGGGACATCCATTTCGGAAAAGTAAGACAAACATTTAGGGGCGGAGAGCGTATATTGAACTTTGACTTTATAGTAAAATTGATTTTCAGGCATTCAGCCTTAATATAGTAGTGCCCCTTATTTTCATTATGTCTCGTACTCCCGGCCTTCAAAATGTTAGGACCATGTCTAAACCAAAAACGAAAAATTAGAAGATAATTTGGGTATAAAGTACACGTCTATGGTATCACAATAACAATTCATTTACTCATCCATGAAATAGAAACATTCACTAATCTCTCTCTATTTTTTTTCCCTATCTTCCGATGAAATGTTTTGCGACCAAATTCAGCCCCTGGCCTATTGTAATCCATTTCAACCCACTTATTATTAATAACTTCTATTCTATTACATTGATTGTTGTTCCTTAACTTCCCATTAAACAGTGTTAATTTTCAATTCACGAATTTTGACCTTTTCAGGTCCAATAATGTACTTCTCTCCTTAAGTAGCTAGGTGATTGTTATTTTGTTAATGTAGAACGAGTTTAGTCATTTATGTAACACATGATTTTTGCAATAAAAAGACACTTAAAGAGCCCGTTTGATAACACTGAAACTGATTGAATCGGCTGGAATTGTTGAAATTATATGAATTTTATTTGTAATGGCTGAATTTGCTGAATTGCAAGAAAAAAATATTTAAAATAGATTTTGTTGTTTAAATAAAGAAAAAATTAGATTAAAAATAGTTAAAATGGTCCGTAACTTCGGCAAATTAAGTCGGAAAATCACTCCAATCATATTTATTTTGCTTATAACACAATTTAACATGCGAGAAATAAAAAAATTGCACATTCTAAAACATGGCTGATAAACTGATAAGGTGAAAATATAAATTATCAAACAGGCACAATATCTAGATGTGGGATGTAAGTATCAAATAAAAGATCCTTGAGACATTTTAATTAATCAGTTTCTATCCTTCACGGTGAAACATGGCTGATAAATTGATAAGGTGAAAATATAAGTTATCAAACAGACACATTTTGTGATGTAAATATCAAATAAAAGATCTTTGAAACATTTTAATTAATCAGTTTCTATATAGCATGTGCCTTGCAATATCCTGAAAATTGAAAGTAGCGGTAGTGACTTGCAAAATCCCTGTCTTTGTATTACCTCATATTAATATATTTCTACAAATGTGATACAATATGTGATTGTATATAGCATGTGATGGGACGTTTTAAGTTCTTTTAACACGTCCCTTAATCAGTGATCGATGGATCCATTCTATTCACGGGAACACAATAGTATGATATTTCTTGATTCTAGCTCTATTCATTGGGTTTTTGGGAGGAAATTTGTGTGAAATAATGGGAAAGGTTACCCCAATAGGGTACCTGGCAGGTATATTTATAATAATAAGAGTTTCCAAGAATACAAATTATTCCTAAATTAACATTAGGCTATTACCTAATTTAATATTAGGCTATTACACCCCCTCAAACTGTGCGGGAGATACAACGCGCAGGTTGTCCTTTAAAAAATGAAATTGCTGACTAGAGAGACTCTTAGTAAATATATCAGCCAGTTGAAGACTAGTAGGCACATATTTAACGACAAGATCACCATGAGCCACGCGTTCACGAACAAAGTGATAATCAATCTGAATATGCTTGCTCCGAGCATGTTGAACAGGATTCGCTGTCAAGTAGGAAGCAGAGATGTTGTCGCAGAACAGACGAACTGGGGCCGTGACAGTAAATCCAACCTCGAACAGAATGGACCGAATATGAAGTGTGTCCTGCACCGTGTAAGCAATAGCACGATACTCTGCTTCTGTAGAGGATTTGGAGACAGTAGGCTGCTTCTTGGATTTCCAAGACACGAGATTGGGTCCTAGAAAAACAGCATAACCCGTGGTGGACCGAGACGTGTCGGGACACCCAGCCCAATCTGCATCCGAGTATGCTATAATGCAAGTCGCCTTTGGTGTGGGCTGAAGCCACAAACCATGATCAATGGTACCCTGCAAATATCTAAAAATCCTTTTGACAGCAAAAAGGTGAGTAGTGCGTGGGGCATGCATAAACTGAGAGACTAAATGCACTGCATAAGTAATATCAGGTCTTGTCAAAGTTAAATACTGTAATGCACCTACCATACTGCGATACTCAGTCGCATCTGCAAGTAGCTCGCCATCAGTGAGAGATAATGAAGTACGAGACGCAAGGGGAGTGCGAACTGACTTGACAGTGTGTAAATGAAAGCGAGATAAAAGGTCAGAGACATATTTCTGCTGGGAGAGAAACAAACCTTTAGGATTACGAATGGCCTGAATGCCAAGAAAATAATGAAGATCACCCAAGTCTTTCATGGAAAAATGGTGAGCAATAAGATGAATGAACTGAGTGACAACAGATGATGAATTGCCAGTAATAATAATGTCATCCACATATAGTAACAAATAAATAATCGAAGTGCCCTGGCGGTAAATGAATAGAGAGTTATCCGACTTACTACATAAAAAGTTATGAGAAAGTAGGAAACTACTGAACTTATGAAACCATGCCCGCGGGGCCTGCTTAAGACCATAAATAGCCTTGCGCAGACGACATAAATGATGAGGATACTGAGGATGAATAAAACCCCGCGGCTGACGCATATAAACTTCTTCAGTAAGATGACCATGAAGAAAAGCATTTTTAACATCAAGCTGACGCATAACCCACCCGAATGAAATAGCTAAAGTGAGAACAGTACGAACAGTGGTGGGTTTAATAACAGGACTAAACGTTTCAGAAAAATCTACACCAGCCTGCTGATTAAACCCCTGAGCAACTAACCGTGCCTTGTGGCGCTCAATAGACCCATCTGAAAGAAATTTTGTCTTATAAATCCACTTAGAGCCAACAATATTTTTAGAGTTATCAAAAGGTACCAAATCCCAAGTGTTGTTAGCAATAAGTGCATTAAATTCCTCAGCCATAGCCTTACGCCATATCAAGTGTTTATTTGCCTCAGAAAAACAAGTAGGATCTGCTGAAAGAACAACCGTGTTTAAATTAAAAATAGTTTTTGGTTTAAAAATTCCAGATTTCGCCCGAGTTTGCATCGGGTGGACATTAACCGGGGAAGGGGGGTGCTGTTCGGGCTCAGGTGCGGGGCTGGGCAGTGGGTTTGTAGATGGGGTGATAGGTGGGTTGTTCGGCTGAAATGGAGTGGGGTCAGATACAGGGCTGGTCGGTGGACTGGACTCAGCCGAGGAGAGCTCGAGCTGCTTGGTGTCCGGTGTAGCGAGGTGTTCCGGACTGGAGAGCTGACCGGGATGGGGTTTGAGGTTGGGGTGGTCGGACAGGCCGTATGGCGGGACTGAGGTGGCTGGTTTGGGATGGGCCGAGGATTCTGAGGAAGAGGTAAGAGAGCAGGTCGGGGATGGTCCTTTGGGAGTAAGTCTGATCGGCTCCAGGAGGAAATAGGGAGAGGAGTTTGGGAGGTAGAAGGCGTGTTATGCATAGTAGAGGTCAAAGTGGTGTACGGAAAAATATTTTCACAAAAACGCACATGCCGACTTATGTATACTTTTCCGGTTTGAGGATCAAGACAACGATAACCTTTATAACCAGATGCATATCCTAGAAAAACACATTGAATGGATCGGGGAGAAAGTTTATTGGAGGAACTGGCAGAAATATTTGGAAAACACGCACAACCAAAGACACGTAAAAGGGAATAATCAGGAGATTTTTGAAAAAGTTTTTCATAAGGAGAGTGACCAGACAACGTTGGAGTGGGTAATCTGTTAATAATATATACAGCCGTAAACAACGCATCAACCCAAAAATGACTAGGAAGAGATGCCTCAATAAGCATAGTTCTAGTTAGTTCAAGTAGATGACGATGTTTACGTTCAGCAAGCCCATTTTGTTGAGGAGTGTGAGGGCAAGATTTTTGAAAATAAATTCCATGAGTATCAAAAAATTGCTGCATATGAGAATTAACAAACTCACCCCCTCCATCACTTTGAAAAATTTTAATTCTAGAGTTAAAAAGATTTTCAACTAAAGATTTAAAAATTTTAAAAGAGTCAAAAACCTCGCTTTTATGACGTAATGGGTAAATCCATGTAAAACGAGAAAAATCATCAATAAAGCAGACATATTATTTAAACCCTAAATTAGAAAGAACAGGAGATTGCCACACATCAGAATGAATTAATTGTAAAATAGAGGAAGAAGTGTGAATAGCATCTGAAAAGGGTAATCGTTGAGACTTGCCTAACCGGCAAGAAATACAGTCATGGGAAAAACTAGAGCTATTACATATGCGTTTTTGACCACTTAAAATACGTAAAATATTTTCACCACAATGACCTAATCTACGATGCCACACAGGGCCGGTGGTGAGGACTGAAGATAAAGCTAGGCTAGATGGTGGACTCAGGCTGAGAGGATAGAGATGGCCATTAGTTGTTGCCCGAAGAAGAACCGCCCCCGAAATTTTGTCCTTAACAAAAAAGGAATTTTTGTCAAAAATAGCAACACAGTTGTTATCAGCACACAATTTTTGAATTGAAATTAAATTAAATTTAATATTAGGCACATGATAAACAGATTTCAACAGCAGTTGGCGGCCAGAGGAATTTAAAGAAATATCACCAACATGTTTTATAGGGAGTTGAGCACCATTAGCAACACTAACAATAGTTGGACCAGAATAAGTAGATTTATTTGTCAAAATACCTTCAGAGGAAGTCATATGAGCAGAAGCACCAGTGTCTGGATACCACAGAGCTTCATTAGCTTGACCGGTGAGAAGAACAGGTGCAGTAGATGGAGAAAAACGAGAGGGACAGTTGATTGCAGAATGGCCTGCAGAAAAACAGATTTGACACACAACGGGTGGGGGAATTGCCCCAAGAATTCCCTCAGTTGATGAAGAGCCTGCAGATTTAACATTAGTACCACAATATAATATAGCATTAGTATTTAAGGTGGACAAAACAGAATTACTCATGGCACCTGCATTCGGAGGTCTCAGTTGTTGCTGGCCGAACCCCTGCTGATGGTGCTGTCCCGGTTGCTGGCCCTGCTGCGGAGCTGACTGCTGCTGCCCGTGGCCCGGTTGCTGGCCGTACTGGTGGTAACCACGGCCTCTGCCGCGGCCGTTTCTTCCACGGCCACCCCTGCCGCGGCCACCGCGGCCTCCATGTGGGGCTCTGTCTCGATCTTGGACACCGAAAGCTTGGTAAGCAGGCGGAGTATTTTGCTGACGAAGATATAGGACCCTCTGTTCGGCTTCTAACAAGCTCCGGTGAAGAATGTCTGGCGGGAAATTATCGGGAAAAAGGGAAATAGTGCCCATGGTGGATTCATATTCTGGTCCGAGCCCCATAAGTGTGGTTTGAAGAACTTCTTTATCGGACACAGGAGAATTTATTGTAGCTAATTCGCTTACTAATGCATGAATTTCTCTTAAATAATTTTCCATAGACTGATTTTCCTTCTTTTTCACATTAGACAATAAACGCCTAAGTGTCATTGCTCTAGCCAGACTAGCAGAACGAAAACGATTTTGCAATCTTTCCCAAATCTCAAAGGAGTGTTTAAGTTCATGGACATCAATTAATACATCACGAGTAAGAGTAGCAAAAATCCAAGAACGAATTGTTTGATCAACCCTTAACCAGTGATGATACTCCGTATTAATTATTTGATGATTATTAAAGTCAATCGTGTACATCGGAGGTACCTTTGTGGAACCATCCAAGAAACCAAACACACCTTGAGAGACGAGGAAAGCTTCGAATTGAGTGCGCCAGGTGATGTAATCTTCCACAGCTTTAAGCTTAATAGTAACAATTTGAGTAACGTTGTTGGCCGGTGAGATGGATTGAGAAACCACTGCCATCGGAGACTGAAATAGGGAGGGATCATGCGGCCGAGATATCCCAGGAGCACCGAAAAATGTTGAACCAAAACTGCCAGGGGTGGGGTGTAGCGGTTGCGCGGTAGACGGTACCGGAGTTGAGAAGAGACTGCCGGCAGCAGGAATGACCGGTAGCTGCCATGGGAGTACCGAAGGGATGGTGTGAAACAGAGAGTACGGACCATCCGTAACAATAGGGGAACCGGCAGTGTGCAAAGATGATCCCGGTTGAGAAGAAATCACTGGCGGCGGCTCGGTCAAGGAGACAGAGGCGCTAGTGAGGACCACGGCTGCGTCGGTAAAAGGGGCAGAAACCGGCGCCATAGTCGAGGAGGTAGAAGCAGCAGTGAAGGCATCCATGGAGGAGGAAGAAATTTCAGTGGTGGAAGCCATGGTTTCGGCGGAAGAGAAGGCAGCGGCCGAAGGCCTAGATCGAACGAGGGTTAAGGAGAGAGAAAAAATTTAGGCTCTGATACCATGTGAAATAATGGGAAAGGTTACCCCAATAGGGTACCTGGCAGGTATATTTATAATAATAAGAGTTTCCAAGAATACAAATTATTCCTAAATTAACATTAGGCTATTACCTAATTTAATATTAGGCTATTAATTTGTAGAATTTTTGCTATAGCTAAATAGCTAATATTACTCTGAAAAATCTTGCCTATAAAGTAACGCAAACAACTCGAAGCTTAAGCTAAATCATCTTCACTACCCTTAATCTAACCAACACTAGCTAGAGAGAGGGATGCATAGAATAACACTACTCAAATGTAGTTGTCAAACAAAGTAAACAAATCTCAACTCCATGAAATTTCAAAGTGTTTTTGATTGGACTAGTTTTAGAAGCCATTTGACAACACTTTTTTCGGTTTATCAGGCTTATCAGCCAACTTTTTCACCAAACACGTAACTTTTGCTTTTACGCGCTGAAATGTGTAGTAAGAAGAAAAAGTAAGGTTGGAGTTACTTTTCTGACTGTATTAGCTGAAATTACTATAGATGACCATTTTAACTATTTTTACATATAATTTTTTCTTTACTTTATTAATAATAAAATATATTTTAATTTTTTTTCTTAAATCAGCAGAATCAGCCAATACAGCCACTTCAGCCAGAATTTAATAAATTTCAGCAGAATAAGCCAAATCAACCGATTTTCGTGTTACCAAACGGGCTCTTGATCTCATACAGAGTATCACACAACATTTAGGATGTTTTTGCTTAGACGGGAATTTTCTGGTTTGATCTCGCCTGATCTGATCTTGTTTGGTTTGCTCTGAACTGATTTGCTCTGGTCTGGTAAATGTCTGATATGTGTATTTTATAACTGTCCAAGTCTAGTCTGACTTGGCTTAGTCTGCTCTGATCTGGTCTAATCTGATCTGGTCTGGGACTGAAAAAGTCCAAGTAAAAACACCCTTAAACAAATAATACTAAACTTGTATAATATATTCCGTAATAAAGTTCAAGTAGACCATACGTTTAATTACTAGTTTAAATCAGAAAATTTATGTATGACTAAAAACATCGTTACTACCATGTCAAATTGGCTCTAACCCACGCTACAAGATTCATCAAGATGTAAGATTTAATTTACCTCATACTTATACATTGAAAAAAAACTGTTTGTATACACATATTTGTATACACTTGTAAACTGTTTGTGAACAAACCGTTCTCATGAGGTGTGTACAAAAAAGTGTATGGAAAGTCGGACTAATAATATTATACACTAATACACATAATAAATACGTAGTGCATGGTATATGTTTGATGTGGGGCGCCTTATGCTATACATTGTTTTCCCCGGAGCTTTTAGTCCCATTATCTTGTGATGGGTGACTTTGATCCTACATGGTATCCTATTAGTTGCATTTCTGTAAGTGTAATAAAAAATGTAGGATTCTGTGACATAAAATTTATTATATTTGCTTAAATGGGTAGAATTGTAGTAAGATAGCTAGTAGCTCAAGATGGCATAGATGGCTATAAACGTTGGGAGGGAAGTACGGTTTATTTTTGTCTGGCTCGTTTGCCACATGGTGGAGTATGCTTGTTTATGCTTGCTACTAGTGACATGTCAAGCACAACCAATACCAATTACCAAACATTACCCTTCAGTATTTCAGTACCTAACCTTTGTGGTCCGGTATTAGTAATTGTTTTGTAAGAAAAATCACTAACTTCACCACAAAAGGTGGAATCGCACACCCCTAACACCCTACACTCCGACCCACCGGATGGTGAGAGATTTATGAGATTTCTGAGTGAGGTGATTTAGAATCTGATGCGCACAAGAAGTCATCATATACAGGGGCGAAGCAAGGACAATGGGCTATATTAGGTCGATACAAAGAATATTTTTGGACAAAATTTACATGGAATTTTTTACATTAAAAATTGAGTTTTGTTTTAAATTTGGGGTAGGGCATGACCTAGACTGACCCCCTCTAGCTCCGCCTCTGATCATATATGATGAATCTGCTCTCGAGTATATATGATTGACTAAAGACGCATATTTCGAACACGTATACCAATCCGCTATTAGAAATTAGCAGATTATGTTAGCGGAAACGTGCACAACCCTTTGTATAGGAGGGGCTTGGTGGATTAACCCGTGATTAATGTGAATTCAAATGCCATCCCAATATAAAAAGACTTGAAAAGCAAGAGGGCTGCAAAATATTTACAACACAACTTTACATATTCCTACTTGCGTAGACATTTCAACTTTTTAAACCATGTGTTTCTTTTCATCCCACAACTCATATACACTTGGTATCTTCTTATCTTCCTCTCCCACTAATTGATGCCACCTCTAATCATCCAATTTATAAAAGGTGACAGTGACTACACTCCAACCATTGTCTAACCTCTTTAATGTTTTGATTAGGTTTGTGTTTGGATCATAATAATCTTAATAATTGTGGTTGAAAATTGACGTATCTAGTTTCACGCAATTAGCTTTAATTTTTCGAATTATTTAATTATGAGGATCTGCTGAAGATATAAACCAAGGATTTTTAATTTTATAAGTGCAACAGCACACAATTATCGTACTAATACCCAACATCATTCACATATTATTACTTGTCCATTACAGCTGTAGCTCCTTTAATAAATATGTTTATTTTGATATTATTACATCTCGATTTCATCATATTAATTTCAATCTCCTAAAACCTACCTAAATCACGAGTGATTCACAGCATACTTATCATCTTATTTAAGTCGAATCTGACTTTAGGTTTAATTGATATGCATAATTTCAATTCTGATTAAATACTGACTTATCATGATATATCATGATATGTATTATTCATGATATTTATAATGTATAATTGATATGTATAATATCAATTTCACATCATATTAATGTTTACATTTTCGAATCTGATCACTTTAATTATACTTATCATCTTACTTAACAGATACCAAGAGGATATACAAGTATTGAAAAACGTAAAAAAGTTAAAAAGAAATTATATTGCCTATTTGATTGATCCAAAAGATTGGATCTCAAAGCTCCCGCGCGGTCATTCTTAGACCCGACCCGACAAAACATGTCGTTTATTAATCACGGTAACTCTATTAAACATAAAGATTAGATTAGTGTCCCTCTCACCTTGAGACGTTGCTCCCATACTACCATTCACGGGTTTGATTTTTACCCATGTGATCAAATAACCAAGAGCATATAAAAGTATTCCAAAAATGGAAAGAAGTTAGAAAAATTGTATTGCCTATTTGATTGATCCAAAAGATTGAATCTCAAAGCTCAAAGCTCAAAGCTCAGATTAGATCCCACCCTACAAAACATATGTGATCCGACCCGACAAATCATATGTGGTTATTAATCATGGTAACTTGTTAAACATAAAAATTAAATCAGTGCCCTCCCACTTTGAGAGGTTGCTCCCATAGTACCTACCATTCATGGGTTAGTTTGATTTTTCACCCATGTGATCAACTAATATGCTCATGTGGACATTATATGGTGCAAGGGACCACCTAATTTTCACCCTACCACTTTGACCGCCTAATTGATTGTTACTACATTTTGTACACCAAAGAGAAACAATTTTTAAAAGGAATGAAGTAATGGAACAACTTCTACCAACTCAATTAATAGCAAGTAATTATTTAACATGGAGGGCACATGGCCACATGCGCTATATGTAAACTTTTTTAACTCAAAAAACTTTTTTGCCAAGCTGTTTCCTCTTAGACTCCACCCCCTACCACTTTGACTAGCCGTCAAAACGTAATTATAATGTGAAGAAGAGTCAACCCAAACCCAAAATTCCACCATTCACATTTCCAAGCAACCAAATCTGGACAGGTCACTATTCTTTTTTAACCCTTTATTTCTTATCCCCTTCCTAAGAATCTCACTCAGAAAGAAAGCCCTAACTAAATTCAAATTCACCCACCCCTACTTCCTTCTCCCTTCAAACTTCTCCTCTCCCATAAAGAATTCATTTTCTACTCCGTATGATCTAAAAGGGGAAAAAAGATTCAACGCCTATTAATTCCAACCCAAACCCAAAATAAGTAAGTGTTCGCTGCCATAAATTTTACCCCAATAAATAATTCCCACCCCAAAATCGGGGGGAAAAGAGAGCAAAGATTTAATCTTTTTAACTTCAAGCTTCTCTTTACCAGATATGCTGGAAAGTTCAGTGTTGGTGGACAATCCCAGCGGCGGAATCGCTGCCCCCGCTGCTGAGGCGGTGGCTGAGCTGCAGGGCGGAGGCGGCGGAGAAGACGGAGACCGGAGCTCAGGTGGCAACAGATGGCCGCATGAAGAAACGCTGGCTTTGCTCAAGATCCGTTCAGAAATGGACCTTGCATTTCGTGATTCTACTCTCAAAGCCCCTCTCTGGGAACAAGTTTCAAGGTAGGATTCCTTCATTTTCTAGATGTTTCCCCTTTTTGACATCCTTTTTTTGTTTATTAAAAAAGACATAACATCCCCAGAGTTAAAAACCGTAATTAATTACTAATTTATTAGTTTTTCTTTGGGATCTTTAGTTCTCAGTGATCTGGTTACTGCTTTCTCATTCAATAATGTTGTTTCTTGATTTACTATTCATAGGATTGATAAATCTACTTTTACCATTATTTATCTGAAATAGTATTAATAATTCTGCTGTTCTTTACCATAAAGATTGCGTTTTTAAATGATTTATTAAACTGCATAAACTACAAGAAGTTTTCAGTTCACAATCTGTTCAAATACGTCACTCAGACCTGAATACAAACATTTAACTAATTGACACAATCAAGTAACGTACGGAGATAAGTAATTGAGATTTGGACGGAGAAACCTCTTTAGATAAGGCACTGTTTGTGTGTGTGGTAGAGGAGAGCTCAGCTAAATAACTCCTTTTAGTAATTTATTATTTCTTAAAACTTTTCAAATATATTAGCTTTTATCCTGCAGTTATCTTTTATATTTTGTTAATAGCTTTTACCTTCCAACTTTTAGTTTTTTTGCAGTGGTCAAACAGTTTGTTATGTAGTTTTATGAACCCAAAAGTAATCTCACACTTGACCAAATTTTATACTCCCAGTGATGCTCTCTCTGTCCCAAATAAGGAATCTTTTCAAATAATCCACTTTATTTTTCAAAAAGTCTCTTCAGGTCAAAATAACCCTTTTTGAGTATAATTTGTCAAAAGGTCGCATACAAGTTTATATGATATGTTAATTAGTCAAAACCTACTCTCTATGTCCCCAAAAAACCAATATGAGAAAAATTGGTGATTCAATGATTAGTACTCCGTACTTAGCAGCAGTTGTATCTTACCAAGGTAAAAAACATCTTAAAGCTTTTGAGAAGAAATGTGCTCAAGTGTAAATTATTTGATCAGAAAAATGGAGGAGTCAGGGTACAAGAGAAGTGCCAAGAAGTGCAAAGAGAAATTTGAGAACATTTACAAGTACCACAAGAGAACAAAGGAAGGCAGGTCCGGTCGCCAGAATGGGAAAAAACTACAGATTCTTTGATCAACTAGAGGTTCTAGACAACCTGCAGTCCAACAAAACCTACTCGGACGATTCTAAGGACCCAACAGAATTGGGGTCTCCAACGCCCATGGCAATGGTAAGGCCAAACACCAACATTGTTCAAGATTTTAGGACACATCATCATCTCATCAGCCAAACAAAACACAACCTCACCAGCGCTGATGTCATTTCAGCCTCCACGTCCACGACCTATTCCTCTGGGAAAGAGTCTGGAAGTTGTGTTTCGAGGAAGAGACAAATGGCCGGTTTCTTCGAGAAGCTGATGACAGAAGTGCTAGAAAAGCAAGAAAATTTGCAGAAGAAGTTTCTCGAAGCATTGGAGAGATGTGAGAGGGACCGCATGGCGAGAGAAGAAGCATGGAAGAGAGAAGAGACCGAGAGAATGAAGAGAGAACAAGAGTTCTTAGCACAGGAGAGAGCCATTTCAGAGGCAAAAGATGCAGCCTTGATAGCATTTCTTCAGAAAATCGCCAAGCAACCGATCCCTGTGAACTCAATCACGCCCTTAGAGAAAGATCAGGAAATTCAAGAAGGGAACGACGAGGAAGAAATAAATATTAATAACGAGCAAAAAGAGAATGGCTCCGGCGAGAGGACTTATGCTAGATGGCCTAAAGCGGAAATCGAAGCATTGATTAGATTCCGGACAAAGCTTGACATGCAGTACAACGAAAATGGGTCAAAGGGCCCTTTATGGGAAGACATATCATCTGAAATGAAGAAGCTTGGGTATGACAGGAACGCCAAACGGTGTAAAGAAAAATGGGAGAACATAAACAAGTACTACCGAAAGGTGAAAGAAAGCAACAAGAGGAGGCCCGGAGATTCCAAAACTTGTCCCTACTTCCACATACTTGATTCTCTTTACCAAAACAAGTCCAAGAGGGTTGTTGAACTTAGTTCAACGACTCCCGATAATCCTCATGATTTCAATATGAAGGCAGGAGAGATGTTGATGCACATAATTAACCAAAATCAAAATCAATATCGGGAAAAACAAGATGTCAGAAGAACAACAAATGGGTTCCAAAGTCAAGAGAATGATGAAGAGGGTCAAAGTGAAGACGGATTTCACATTGGAACCACCCGCCCGTGAAAAGAGACGAGAGTGGAAGTGAAGGTAATAATAAAAATTCCAATAGGAATTAATTATGGGGTCACTCTAAATTATGCTGTGCACACACACACACCCAATAGGTGATACTAAATTATTCAATCATACCATACATTGTTTGGAAAATAGTGATACAGATTACATAGCAGGTGTACTGTGTAAAAAAACAAGGTGCATCTTACTTAATTTGGTTGCCCCACATCTCACATTTAAAGTTTAAATTGGTCAGTTCTGTTTGTTTGTAGTTTGTACCTAATGTATACCTAAATGTCATTGATTGCTGTTTTTTATATTATTAATTAATGTACTCAAAAGGCATCCAAATGTGAAATTTTACCATGCTGAGGATGTAGTTTGTATGTAAATATGCTGCATGCATAGTTTCAAACTACCTCTCACCTGCCACTTTTCTCACAATTGAGATATTGTTTTGTGAAGGTTCATCATCATCACCCATCGTGAAAATCGCGTCAAAATTCTCATGACAAAAATGATTTAATCTGTGCAGCATTTTCTTATGCAAGAAGAGATATGTTTGCTAGAGGCAATATGTTAGTGAAGTGGGTTCTTGTTATTCTACTAATGAAATAATAGGTTGCTATATAAGTCCAAGTCTTACTTAAGCTAAAGAGTGTGTATGGCAATGCAATAATAGTTAGAGACAAAAAAATATAAAAAACTCAGGAATATACCTCCTATATCCCGCAATTTATTTTTCATTTTCTTGTTTGAGATGTCCCAAAATTAAGGATGGCAATGGATGCGGGGACCCGTGGGGAACCGCCCCACGGGGGAAGGTTGGGGTGGGGCTTGGGGCGGGGCGGGGCGGGGGCGGGGATGGGTGAGATATTTTTACGCCGTTAAAATATGGGGCGGGGGATGGGTATTGTTACACCCGCCCCGCCTCGTCTCTGCCCCGCCTCCGTTATAAATACTCCGTATATACTTAAACATATATATCCACATATATATAAATAATGTACACACATATTAAATTAAATTATATGTAGTATGTATATAACAAACGCATATACTAGAATAAAAAAACAAACACATATACATATAGACATACATAATTGTATACGGTTTAATCATGATTAATGAATTAATACATATTATACTAGAATAATAATAAGCTAGCTAGTAATGATTAAAAATATTTATCATAAATGTTTTAAGAGTGAAAAAGTGAGTAAATAAACACACACACATTTATATGTAATATAATATGTAATTAATTGTATAATAAGTGTTGAGAATTTTAAAACAACGTACATGATGATAATATGTTTACCTATATTTTTACTTTAATTGTCTTCTGTTCACAAAACTTTTTCAAAATGAAGAATTATTAAAATTGGTGGTATTAACTCTTAACAAACACAATACTTCAGTGTTGCGTGTGTGTATCATATATTACTGTGTGCGCGTAGATCGATATATATATATATATATATATATATATATATATATAGGATCAAATGAGAACAACGCTTAACGTGCGAACGTGCGAACACCACATTTACACCAATGTGAAACACAATGGGCTTGCACAATGAACTTTTTCGTATCTAGCATGATTTTTTCAAAAGTGCCACCATGATTATTTATATTAGCTTGTATTGAGCAAAGTCCAAATGTGCACTAGAATGGCTCTATTGTGTATCACATTGGATTATTGTGTATCACATTGAATTAAATGTGAGTATTCCCACGTTAAACATCGTTCTCATTGAAATCGCACTACACATATTTATAATAAGAGATTAAAAGTATATGCAAATATGATAAATTAAATCTATATGGGGACACCCGTGGGCACCCGTGGGGGGACAACGGGGTGGGGCGGTGATGGGGCGGGTCCGGGAGTAACGGGGGATGGGGCGGGGATAGGGGGAACTTTTTAGACATCGATCGGGGGATGGGAGAGTGTACCCCCGTCCCAAACCGGCAAACCCGCCCCATTGCCATCCCTACCCAAAATCAAGTTACTACTCTTTTTGATAATATTAGTGATAAAGTTCTCTTTAACCCCCATGAAAAGTACACAGTACATTATAAATTATTAATAATGAAAAGTACACAGTACATTATAAATTATTAATAATATCTTATAATTGGAAAGTTAATAAATACATATTTTGTCAAAATAAACCTGTGAAGTCAAACCACAAAATTAATTGCAGAAAAGAGGGCGTGTTCAATGTGATGTTATATACGGAGTCGTATTATTCATAAATATAATAAAAAATACGCAGTAAAATAAAAGTTGAGGAGAGAAATTTGATATACAAAATTTGAACTTTGAAGTTACGGTGTGTTAAACGAAAAATACAAAGTAAAATACGAAGTCACGGAGACTGACGGAGTAGTAAAATACGAAGCAGTCATGGACCCGGTCAGGCCCTGGGTCTAGGGGTGGACTCGGGCGGGGCAGGGCGGCCCGGAACCGGCCAGGCCCGGTTACAGTTTGAACTGGCCCGGCCCGGGGGGGGGGGGGGGGGGGGGGTTCGGGTCGACCTGGCCCGGTAGGAATGCGGTTCAGGCTCGGGCCCTAGGATTGGTGAACCGGTCCGGCCGGTTCGGACCCGGTCCGGGCCAAATTATTTTTTTTTTGATTTTTATTTTTAAGTTTTTGTGTTGGGCTGGGTATTTTGAGCCATTTGAGGTGATTTGGGGGTGAGTAGGCATGGACCCGGTTCGGGCCGCCCGGCCCGGGACCGGCCCGGCCCGCCACTATGCGGGCCCGGAACCGGCCCGGTTCTCGGGTCTGGGTCGGGCCTAGGCCCGGTGGGGGGGGGGGGTCCGGGCTCGGGCCTTGTATTTGGCGAACCGGCCCGGCCGGGTCGGGCCCAGGCCCGGGCCGAATTGATTTTTTTTATTTATTTATTTTTCATTTTTGGGGGTTAGCCGGGTTGGGCTTGATGGTTAGGAGGGGTTTGGGGGGGGGGGGGGGGTGGGGGGGGTTAGGAAAGAAAAAAAAAAATTATGACCGAACCGGAGGCCCGGCCCGGCCCGGACCCGGTGGCTACCCGGGCCGGTCCCGGGCCTTCCTTCCCAAAAAAAAAGCCCGGACGGGCCCGGCCCGGACCCGGTGGCTACCCGGGCCGGTCCCGGGCCTTCCATGACTAGGGGTGAGGGGGAGGGTTGGGGTTAATTAGGAAAAGCCAAAAAAAAAAAAATAGAACCGAGGCCCGGCCTGGCCCGGACCCGGGGTTACCCGGGCCGGTTCCGAGCCTCCCATTTCTGAACCAAGGCCCGGCTGGGCCCAGGCCTGAACCGGCCCGAGTCCACCCATACCCGGGTCACGGGTCGGGCCACCCGCCGGGCCGGGTCATGTTTAATTTTTTTTAATTATAGTTTATACAAATTCTTATTAAAAACAAAGTTCAAATGCATTTATTTGAAATAGGAACTACATTTGAGAATTGAGAAAAAAATTACAATATGAAATACATTTTCTAATAAATATTAATTGGAATTTCCGCCACCGTTGGTTGGTGTTTTGCCTTTGTCACAGAACTTATATGTCTTGTGGGCATCCCGTATCCGTGTGAACGCCCCAAACTACACTCTTTCTTGCACCACCTGCAAGTTGCCCGCCACAGCCCGGTCTTCGGATCCTTCCACATATCAAAAGTGTTTTGCATAAGGGAAGATTTACTTTCCATCTTTAAAATGGTATATATATAAGTAGGAATGTAGGATAATAAAAGAAGATGAAGATGGAGAAAAGTTGGAGAAGAGGTGTAGAAAAATGTTAGAAAATAGATGTATTTATAGAATTTTTTGAACCCCACACCCCCACCACCGGGACCCCCCTGCCCCCACCCAAAGCCCCAACGGCTATATCCGTTTGGGAGCTTTTATGTTTTTAATTTTTTTTAAATATTTTTTATTTGAGAATTATACATATTGTAAAATAAGTTAATTAATTTAATGAATTAAGTAAAGCTATTTTTACTTAAAAAAGTGGTTTGACTTATAATTTACAAATGTTACAAAATAGGTGTATTTAAACAAATTACATATTGTAAAGCTATTTTTAATTCCAAAACAGCCTTTAAAAAATTAATTGTAAGTTGTAAGTTTGTAACCAATTAATTAATTTGAGAAGTGCTACATATCAAAAAATGAACGCATATTTATTTGAAATATGAAATACAAGTTTACAAATTACAATTGAGAATCGAAGAAAAGATTAAAACATGAAATACATTTTATAATAAATTCTAAAATATTAATCAATCGGAATCTCCGTCATAGGTAGAGCCACCATCGGTTGTTGAGTCATCCATAAAGTCTTGGGAGAGGGTGATGCTCATTTCTTGAGTTCTACGTGTGGCCTTAAACCAATCGTGGTAGCATATAAGCGTCTCAAGAGAGTTTGCGTTCTATCTCGTTCTAGATGCCGTTAGGACGTTGCCGGCCGAACTAAATTCTTGTTCCACGGCAACTATTGAAACCGACATTGATAGCACTTGCTTAGCCATCCGTGCTAAAATCGGGAACATTCTTTCTTTCCACTTTCACCAGTTTAGAACGTCAAAGTCATCATTTTCTTCAAATTCAACTTCATATGTTAAATACAAAGTAATCTCATTTATTGCGCTTTGTTCAGTAGCTTGAGTTGTTTGACTTTTTTTTCATAAGATTGCTAAATGCAGATTTAAAAATTGATTTTCCTTTAGATGAAGATGTTCGTGTCGGGGGAGGGGGCGCGTTGCCATATTGTGAATGGAACTCATTAAATTAGGCATAAAATAAAGCACTAACCTCGTTGTATTCCGTTTTCGGATCTATGGGGTTATCGTCATACATTGGAAATTCACCAAAAAAAAAAGCAAGATAATAGAAGTTGAAACAATCTTTCAAATTAGCTAGTCTAAAACGAGGATCGAGAATAAATGCAATACCATAAATATGCAGAATATGTGCATAATATTTTAAAAACTTTTCCTTCATAAAATCACAAAAACAACTCACGAAAATGGCATTCTCAAATTCTTTAAAAACACCGGCGAGATTAACAGTTTCACGAATAAATTGGTTTGCGGTAGGTTTATAAACATGACTAAAAGTTTCAGTTGCATTAAAAAATATATATCAAAACATTACAATTTTTTTCACAAGTGTCGATCTCAGCCGAGTTTATAATATAGTTATCACGTTGTTTTAAAAAAGCAGGAAAATGTTCTTTATATCTAAGAACAACTTTAAGTAATTTATAAGTACTGTTCCAACGAATATTCAAATCTTTAGGAAAAACAACATATCTCACACCTCTTTCAGTCAAATAAGTTTGTCATAAGTTTGCCAAAACCCGGTTTGTGCGTC